TCATCAGGAGCTCCGCGAACGATTCGAACACCAGTTGAATTTGCTGTGGATTCGGCTTGGCTAGGTCGCCGACAGAGAATGGGACGCCAATGTCGTTGATACATCAGCGATTTCCCTGTCAGGCTTCGAGAATGAGTGTTAGTGATGATTGAGAGGTAGGTAATATATTACTTAAACGCAGTTATAGTGGGTGCATGTTCCTATGTAATCTCTCTCAAACTCACCAGCCGCATCAGCGCATCGCTGTCATCTTCCTTTTTCTTGCCCCGACTCTGTTGTTGATGGTTGCCATGGCCGAACTGCTGGCTCATTCGCGAGTTGTATGCCATAATGACGGTATAGAAGGAAAACGCATCAGCGATGTTTTCTAGAGTTAATATCAAAAAATTAAGTATTGATATTTTCTGTTCTTAATATCTAGAATCGTTGTTGTTACCAGCGGCGGGCGGGCGGTTGGAATATGTTTTTGTTTACTTAAAGGGACGAATCGACGGATGACAGCAAGGGCACCAAAAGGGTTTAGCGTTGTGCGGTCAAAGGAGCAAAAATTGCAAACAGTGCAAACTATATGAACAGTGCAAAACAACCCTTCTTTTTACCTTTTGGCTGTAGGCTTGAACATCAAGTCATCTTTACGATTTCCACCAGCCCGCAAAAGCTGGTGGATGTTCTCAGCTTCCAACTACATTATTGCTTGGGCTGTTTTGCTGGTATCTAGCTTAATTGCACGGTGCATCCTGGGGTTCGAGAATTTACAGGGCTGGTTGAACATATGATATCTTTTCAGTTCAAACCATTTTTTTGAGATCGATTGAATCGCTGACTCACCCTCCTTGCTGTCGCGATCCCAACTCCCCGCTCACTCCCCCCGCTTTTACGTTTTGACAAAGAACTTATATTTGTCAATTTTTCCTACGTGTGGAGCGTTTCTTGAGCCATTTGGCCCAATCAATACCTTGGCCGTGGGCGGACATTTTCGCCTTCGGCCGGCAGCAAAGCAAATATGGCTTCTGAAATTACTTCTAAACCTTTCGAGTACGTACTGCCCTGCGTAGGAATTTTGTAGCGACTGTATTGAGAGCATGAGCATTGAAATTCCGATTACAGCATCGTCGCCACATACAATGACCTCCTCCGTTCCGATCCAGATCTCACAATGCCAATCGCAGCCATCGAAGCATTGGTTCTTCTCCTGACTCATTCTCCCTCCTCCACAATATCGGAAACCCTGGATCTATTAGAAACGCATACGGGATACCTAAAACGCTCAATACCAAACCCGATTGGTCTTTCTGCCGGCACCGATCTTTTCCAACGGTACCTCATAACAACCCTACAGAGACCGGGCCAACTAGGCCCCGCAGGGGATTTCAACGCAATCAGAGCACATCTACTTGCGAATGGCCGGTTATTCATCAAACGCGCAAAAGAGAGCAGGGATAGGATAGCTGCGTTTGGCAGTGGGTTTGTGCGGGATGGAAGCACGGTGTTGACCAACGGTGGATCCAGGGTGGTCAGTGCTTTGTTACGGAAGGCTGCGGAGGAACAGGGCGAAACGGGAACTCCCGCGGCTAGATTCCGGGTTATTTATGTGGTGTCAGTCGCACACAACCATAATGGCAATTCATCCGGATCCGATCTGGAAGGGATGGATACTGTCACCGCGCTTAGGTCCAAGGGGATCCCGGTAGCTACGATTCCGGAGTCGGCGGTGGCATATTCACTAGGTATGGTGGATATGGTGATTGTGGGTGCGGAGGGTGTCCTTGAGAACGGCGGCATCATATCGCGCTTAGGGACGTATCAGATGGGCCTTCTAGCAAAAGCTGAGGGGAAGCCATTCTATGTCGTCGCGGAGAGCCACAAGTTTGTCAGATTGTACCCACTGGGCCAATATGACCTGCCAATCAATCAGAAGGTGATTGATTTCCAGACGGATCAAACGAGTGAGCCTTCCGGCCAAACTTCTGGCGTTCAAACCGATGAACACAGCTTCCAGTCCACTACGAAGGAGAAGACCAATCATCTCGACGCCCTACTCAACGGGCAAACGTTCGCACCGAGAGAGAACAGAAGGCCGATAAAACGTGATGCGGTTGACTTCACTCCCCCACATCTTATCTCGGCTCTGATTACGGAAAGCGGCGTGCTAACGCCCAGCGCTGTTAGTGAGGAATTGATTAAGATATGGTTCTGAATTTAGCTGGATCTGGATTTTTTTCCTATTTCCTCTGTCCTTTCCCCTGCTTTAAAGCGAATGATATATGCATAACAATATATCGGGAATTAAAGAAAGGAAAATGTTATACTCCTGTTTACAAATTTTGACACGATGTCGTGTTTCCCTTTAATGATGAAGGATGTTTTTTTATGGACTGCCTCGGAATGGTTAAACCTTTTGGAACCATTTCCAAGCCAACCCTTCTACGAATCAGAGCTTCGGGGTGAAACCGCCGGCATCCATTCTCCACTTAGCATCTCCCATTTCAATGATTTGACCTTACAAAAGTCGTATACCTACTTTTTACCAGCCCAGAGCGTGATCTCTGGAAATGCTATTCTCCTGCCCGGCCACTGTATGATTGTATCCTCAGGGCTATAAGCAAATGTTTCACATTCTATTGCGCTGACAAAAATGCTACTCGCAGCTACAATGAATTGTTTTCTCATGTCTAAAGATCGACACCCATATGCAGAAAATGAATTTAAGAGAAAGGAGACATAGATCTTCCAACATACTCGCCCGCCCGTGACATGAGATAGTACCAAAATAATTTCCAGAAGGATAAGGCTACCACACCGGAAGTTGAGACAAAAACAGTTAAACTCTCCCCTAAGCCTCCAACACCGCTCTTAACCATTTTTGATATGAGCGTCTCGTTCTTTAGACAAATGGAGTATGACGTCATCCTCTCTTGTTTCCTCACATGCAATTGTCTATAATATATCTCCCCGGAAAGAATTCACGGGTATACTTGTCGTCTGAGGGAGGTAAAGGTTCCGTTCTTATTTTGCCAGCATCTCGTCGACGAGAAATGTATGCTAGGGGTTTGGCTGCAATGAGTGGTGGGTATGTAAGGGAGGTAGCGTCTGGAGTGAACTGGTGCCAAGGGATTTGTTTCCTATGGTTATTGAATCGTAGCTGCGGCAAAAGAGGGAATTATGGAATATTCGTCTCAATTGGTGTAGAATGAGCGAGGCGCTCTGCAACGGGTCTCGTTAATGTAGCATGCGAACCGTGTATATCTAAGACTGAAAGTGGTTTTAAACTGTGTGGGTAAGCATCCGTGACCGGCAAAATCATGGTATGCATTGGAGCATTCAGACAGGAGAAAAACGGCTCGTCTGCCTTCCGTACATACATTCAATAAATCCATTCCACAATTGCTAGTGTCCCTTCATATCTCACTATATCTCACTGTTCCCTTGATGCATCATCCGTGGCGTTGGAGGTTGTAGAGATATCATCGCCGATATCAATCCCGTTGCCATTTTGAGAAGAAAACTCAGAGGTGACTGCTCCTCTCATTTCTGAGACATTTTCTTCCCGCATCTCCTCCTCCTCCTCCTCTAGAATCACGGGCAAAATTTGCACGCCGTATTGATTGTAAATGCGACCTCGCTTGCGTTTACGCCAACGCACGCCCTTTTTAGTTTTCTTGACAGATGCCTTGGCATTATCTGGGCGTACCCGCGTGACAGGGATACCTTTTACGATGAGGAAAACAATGCAACACCACAAGATGGCGGGGCGGTAGTATTCCAGAAAAGTTTGGGAGTGGATGTCGCTAACTTCAATTTGTTGGAGGAAGAAGCTAAAGAGATCCATTGCTTGGATATATGAATCTTCGGGCTATTAATGTCAGGATAAGCATAAAGATACGTAAATGATCTTATGAGCAGCAGAAGACTCTGGATGTAGATTTGTATGGGAATATAGTTAAGAAATGATGATATGGGTTGAATGTAGAATCTAACGAAAAAAAAGTCCGTTGCCTTTCTAGGCGGCATTTTGGGTATGATGATATATTCTAGCGAACGCAAGCTTGAGTGTCATGGTGCCCAGTCCAGAAGAGTAAAAATTGCGTCAGAAGAAGAAAGTAAACTATTATGAGAGTTGGTGACAATAATAGAAAGTTTGTACAGACTGGGATAGTTCTTTTTTAGAAAGGGGAACCAAGATCTGGTTAACCAAAGCTTCATTTCATCCGAATTCAAACGATAGTGGGATAGATATTTCATGTTGTAAACATGAGGATAAAAAACGAGAAATAGAGAAAGAGTTCCGGGGACTGTAGGAGCTATGCCAAATCCTATCTGATTCCCACTTTCTTTGCGGAGAGCTTTTCTCCACCCCTAGATTGTGTAGGGAAACTAAACCCCTGAAAACTTTGCTCTCACAAATGCAGCGCAAACGTTTTTGGAGACTGTCGACCAGTAGCCAATTACCGGCGAGAAGCTGAGAGCATGTTTTGACATCAAGTTATGCATATCGAAAACCACCCACGGGTCAGTTGATTGATTACAGGTTTCCCAATGAAAAAGTTCGACGTTAGATGAGAAGCGGATTAGTTAAATGGTCCGTGTCAGGAGGTAACTAACTTTATTTCAGCCTCGTGCGGGATGACGTCAAATTAGCCTCCTCCAATTTAGCCGCTCATTCAACGGGGACAGCCTCACAACTCGAACGTGTCGGGGCGGAGAGGATATACCGTAGCCAACGGTTGTCAACTTCCAAATTTGTATATGTACGCTAAGTCGATATGAGCAGACTATGTTGCCGCAAGCCTTAGAGTGTTTAATACTGGCTCGTCGTGTCTTCATTACAATAGCTGATGCTAGAAATCTGTACAGATTTCGAGTCATTAGACTAAAGAGCTGTGGTTATCTATCTTTCACTGTTTGTATAGCTATTTCAGTTCCTAATATGTTTCTTGTTAATAAGTGCAACGAACTTTCAAAAATAAATAAATAAAATAAAATAAAATAAAAATAAAATCAGATATCCTCAACGTGAACAATAACTACCAACACCATTAAATCTAAAAACAAATAAAAATAATAACAATAAAAATATGTGCATACAGAAATATATTTGTTCATCATTGGAATTCCCCAAACTCCCCACTACCGTCATCATCACTGAACCCCTGAACCACCTTCTTCTCTTCCATATTCAACATAGATTGTGGCCTCCGTCTTCGATTACCCCGTGCACTGGATGGAAGGGGCGCGATCATCGGGAACCCTGAAGAGGAATCATCCCCTACTCTTGACACCGCCGGCGGCGGCGGCGGGGGGATAGAAAACAGTGCCGTCTGTTCCTCCTCAGCAGCCGTAGCAGGACTGGAAACCTGATCCTTAGACGTAGCCATTGCCTTCCTTCCGCCAATATTAATACTAATTGTCTGCCCAGGTTTCAGACTGTAATCTTTTGGTGGCTGTGCTGGGCTGCCTGATCTAGACCTTTGTGATGCCCCCAGCCCAGCTCCGATCCTCCCTTTCACCCCAGCCCCACCTCTCGCGGCCTCTCTCCCCGGATCCGATGAAGTCGTCTGCCCACCCTGTGAAAATCCCAACATCTTCCTCGCCTCCTGCAGCGTGACGCCAAAATCAAACGCGTCGCTCCTATCTTCAAATCCAATACCCAGTGTCGCCTTCCGCCCATCGCCTACAACACATAAAGCGAAGAAGCGCGAGGAATCAATCGCATGTTCGACGGCGGCTGGATCCGTGTATGGTGCCGCTGCGAATAGGTTGCCGGTATCTGGGTCTTCGAGAAGGATATCCGTCTTTACTTTTACTTGCATACCTGCTGCTGTTGCTCCTGGATGGGATTGGGATTGGGATTGCGCAGCTGGCGGAGGGGGTATTGCGGTTTCAAGGACGCGTAGTCGGGCTGTGAAGATTTGGCGGGTTTTGTTGTTGTTTTTTGGGTCTGGAACAGTCCAGTCGGCGGCTGTGTAGCCCTTCATTGAGGTTAAAGGTGGTATCGCGTAGACGTGTACGGGGCTACAGACGAAAAGGACTCGTTGGATAGCGTCGATGGGCAGCGTTTGTCCCGATGCGGGATCGATTGGGCCCGACATGCTGTTTGGTGTTATAGGAGGTTGTGTTGATTGAGTATTTTAACTGTAATTGCTCTGGGAGTTGAGGGGTGAAATATCGGAGTTGGAGGATAGAATTGCACGAGTTAATAACTTAAAATCTGCTGTTCCGCCATGATATTATTATGTTCATGCAATGCTCGTACTTGTGGAGTCCGCCATGTTGATGATACGGCGATCGATATGGCGGGGTAACAATCATACAGAACTTTACGCTCTTTTTAGGGATTTCAAATACATCTCAATACTTAATCTTACGCTAAACGGGCAATGATCCACGGATACGACCAGCCAATCAGATGACAATCAAAACCCTACGGTTGAATTTTATCCAAATGTTAGTCCACAACCCTAAATTCTTTTTGTAAAATCGTTTAGCAGTTTTGAATAGGACTGGATGGAACACCACAACAGAGTGGTGATATTCTCGAACTAGTTGGTGTATTTTCTGTTGTTTTCCCGTGTTCTTGCGCCTCCGTGAAACGCACGTCGCTTTTTTGTTTCCCGTTGTATCATCTTCTGTCAGATGTCTGTCGCAGGTACGGTCCTGGCTGGGATATAAACAATCCTCGAGGTGGCCCCTGTGTAGGGACAAATTTTAACCACAGCGCATATAAATACCGAATGATGTGGTATGATATCAGAACGCCTCAGCCACGCTGCGCCGCTGCGCAAATATTCAAGACATCATCCAGAGGCTGTCCAAAGCGTCCTACTTTGTACAGTACTCTGCAGTTACATGTTTTCATTCTCTGCCTCTGTTTCGTTCAGCAGCGGCAGTTTTACAATATAACATGAAACTCTCGTGACATTCACCTGTGATCTGACGGATGTCAATCCCCTAAAAGCCAACGGGCATTCTACTGGTACATGTTTCTACACATGTTCCTCCAACAGTTCGTATCCAGCTTCTTCTGAGAACTGTCCAACGCGCCAAGCTTAGGCAAATTTGTTAAATGGGATAGGTAATACGCTTGTTGTTTCCAAGAGGGCTAACTATAGGAGATGAGATATAAACGATCAAGCCAAAGCTTTGCTAGTTTTATTAGCGGCTAAAACGCGAACCAGTTGATCTGATCAGCCTAGAGTATAATGGATAAGTTGAATGTGTTGCATCGTCAACTTTGCAATCGAGTTCCTGTTTGAAAAGAGTATGGATGGATGGAATAAGGAGAAGGAGGCTGTAGTGCGTGCGTGCGTTTACCGTATGTTTTGAACTACGGAGAGATGACTCTTACAATTGATAGTTGAAAGGGACGATTCGGCTAGCTCGGGGCAATGACTGAGATATAATGAGCTGCAATCTGTCATCAAGGAACTCAAGAGAGAAATATGTCAAAGATGTTCTACATTTAGAAAGCAATCAACACCAAGTCCTGAAGGTAGTAATTTTCAAGGAAGTGCAAAACAAGAAGCTCAAAAGAAAGCTATGATGTATTGAACGAACTGGTGCCGCTGAAGAAAGGACCCGATGGGATAAGAGGTGAGACTAGAAACCTGTTGTTCGGAGGGACGGAATCCTCGTCCAGCTTTACGGCTTGCGTCACTATTGATTCCAGCTCGATGACTCGATGTTTTCGGGAGAAAACTGCAAGTAGAGTTCGTTGACTGTGGAATTCAAATCTCCTCCATCCTTTCCTTGGTCTAGTATAACCTTATGCTCGCTGGAACGGCGGTGACTTTTTATCTAAATTTGTCAGCCCTAATACGGTGGGGGGGGGGTCGATCGGGACAGATCTCAGACTTGGCCCATTCAGGCAAAACTATAAGACGCGCTGGGCAGCAGACAGACAAACAGAGTTTCAACAAAGTGTCCAATAGCAATGCGGACAGACCAAGGGCGTTGGCGGATGTCTCAAGTCCAACAACCCAACTGCCCGAACCCACTGCTTGCGATGTTACCCCATACCCATATATGTCAGTAGTAGTGGCAAAGAGTTGGTAAGTTGGAAGGGGTGGATCCCGCTGCCAACCTGCCGCCCTGGCCTGCAGGTGACAAGACATCTGTCTCATGTTTCTCAAACCTGATTGTTGCTGTTTCTGTTCCTGGCAGATAACCTTTTACGGAGAAGTACCTACCGTAAGCTTGGGCAGGAATCTACTACGTCGGAACCTGGAATCGAAGAAGTGTGACTGTCACTGGCTGGCACTGGCTGGCATTGAACCGACTTGCCACCAATACAAGGTACAAGTTTATGGCCAGAGATGTGGCACTCCATATCCCAGCGTAATTAATAGTGTGTGAGAGCCCTTGCAGCGTTCACGGGGCCCGTCGCACCCCGGGCGGCGGCGGTGGTGGTGGTGGTGGTGGTGGCGGGCAGTTTGGCCGGGTTCTGGCGGGTGTGACGGGTTTGACGGGTTTGACGTGTTTGACTGGTTTGGCAGTTGGGGGCGCCCCCCGGCCGTTGGTGGCAAGTTGTGTTAGAATGACTAATCCAGCCCTCGCCATAAACTCGCATCTCGCATCGCTTCCTGATGCGGACAAGCGGCTTGCAAGCGAAACTAAACTTCAACCTCGTCTCTTGTTTTTTCCTTCCATCACCCACACTCCATCAACAAACCCATTGCCTTCATCTGCTTACTGACTCTAGCCCTGTCTGCGGGTCTCTAACATCTTTCCTCTCTTCTTTTCCGTCATTTTCATGTATGACATAATTTTTTATGTTTTATGTTTTATTTTTATTTTCTATTGACTCCTCCATTTCACTTATGTACTCGCCCAAGGTACACCGTTGCCCACCTCCCGATCACCACGTCCTAACCATCTGAACTGCTGTAGCTGGGCCCAGCCAGCTGGCTCCCGCCATCGTTCTGCCCTTTGTGTCTCCCTGGAGGTCACTGGAACATGGCTATATGGCCCTTTGGCCGCCGGAGGAAGCGGTCGCGAAAGGTTGTGGATGACGAGTTAAGTTCCGAAACGAGCCCTCGTGAGCCACTGTTACAATCCCGCAGCTTTGGCCACAGCGCCCTTCACCAACAACCACAATCCCATGGTTTCATCTACAGTTCCGTAAAAGCTACCAGAAGAGACAGTAAACGGAGAAAGCGCAATAATAATGCTATCACTGCAACCCACGAAATAAACCACCATGATAACACCCGTTTAACCGATTTATGCCGCAGGGCTGGCTCATCGTCTGTTGCTTCGTTCCGATTTCATCGTCAACCTGCATCAATAGATACTTCCCTCTCAAAGGATTTTGTTCTGTCATCCTGCCACTATATGGCCAATAACTCGCAGCATAACCTCGCCCGCTCCCTGCCCACACTCCATGCCCGTAGGAGCACCACCGAACCCACTGTGCCAGTGCGCAAATCTTCAAAGCGAAAACGATCAGATCGTGCGAGGGAGAAAGAAATCAAAAATCTGAGCAGCCCTGTTACTGACCTGCGACGACCTTCCACGTTACCAGCCGCCCTTCAATGGTGGGAGTCAAGGCTGGTGACAAGGAATACCAAAACGGAACATGGTGATGTATCACAAGTGTGTTTATCGTCTGAATTGGGTCGGAATTCTCCCTTCGATAGCGAGCCTTGTGCCTACAAAATCAGCGGCTTCTCCGCCCTGGTTCCCCGACCGGTCCTGAGATATACTAAACCACCACGATATTCGTTTGGCGCGAGGTATACATCCCGGACGTCCACGAACAAAGAAAAGAGGCGAGTCATCCCAGCAGAAGAGCTGACTCGTATAACTCGAATCAAAGACCTCGCAGATGATATGGATGCGGGCGCTTTGCGAGAAATGATGGAAAGGGATCGATGTCGGAAAGAAATGAAGCGCCAGGTTGAACAAGAGAAGCTGCAGAGGAAACTACAGTCAAGAGCGGACCGTCAGCGCGAACAGGAACGGCGGCGGAATTCTTTTGATACATCCCAACTTGCCAGGTCGGGAGATGGAGTTGATCGTCCTCAGGCTCCCGAGATTGGGGTAGCTGTGACTTCTCCGGATCCCCGCCACCGTCGTAAATCCGCAGATACGTCTTACAGCTCCTGGAAACAGGATCCGTCAAAGGAAAGCCTGCAACAGCGCAGCGGCTCTAGCCCAAAACATCAAAATTTGCCAAGGGTCGATAGCGATTTTGCGGTAAACCGCTCGCGACGCAGTCCCCCAAGTAACGCTACCCAAGATACCAATATGTCTGGAACAAGCGGGCGTCATTCGATTTCGCCAATTAACCGTGACACGGGTGATGTTGATGCTGACACTTCTCAGTATTCGGGAGATGTGAATGGATCGATGTCAGATATCCATCAAAATTTTGACCTTGACAAGCGAAATTCTGACAATGCAGGCAAACTCTCTACTTCATGGACAACATTCTTCCGCCGTGGCGGCACTCGGTTGCGACTTAGAACTGCGGAGCGGACGAAGGCACTATCGGAATTTTCTATCCCGTCAAGGGAATCTTTTCAACGAATCAACCAATCGCAACAACAGCAACAATCACAATCATCATCACTAGCACCCCCTGCAACAACGCAACCCATCCCCGGTTCAGACCGAAGCCACCTTCGCCCTGGCTTTCTCCGAACCCAATCTAAATTCAAAGAACATTTCACCGATCCTCTCAAAGAATTCCCCATGCCGCCCGGGCGGGAATTGCAAACCTCCAACATCCCTCATCTTGTTCCAGCACCTGCCAGCTCCTCTCTCACAGGCGACAACCCCAGCGGCAACGCTGCAACAAACGAGCCTCATACTGGGGTTCTGGGATCAAGGTCTGCTGTCGTTAACCCCGAGCAGCGCGACGTTAAACGGTCGTCCGGCGCAGGCAGTCCCGACACAAACGCTGAAAGCATACTGCTAGCTCATTCGCTTGCCTCAATTGACTCTGAAGGATCATGGTTGTCTGGGCGGTTGTCACGACGTCTCTCGCATCAGCCCAAAAATTCGGGCGGTGGTAGTGCTGGTTCTACGCGAGAGAGATTGGATGAGTATGTGGAATTTGAGAGTAATGATCATCGCAATCACGATTCTCGTCTGACTGTTGATGAAGAGGACCAATTCGCATCATCGCGGAGCGTCCGGAAGCCGAGCAGTCAAGCGCTTGGGCTTGAAATGGACCACGACATCTGTGTCGATATCGATAACGATAGGGTTATAGATATTGATATCGACAATGACACGAACAGCTCAGTGGAATTAATTCCCTTGCAAAGCCCCGCGTTGCCATGCATAGAAGAAAACATTGCCAAAGAACACGGAACGTTACACGCAAGCCTCGGTAGACGACCCCAACTCATCTGCCCAGATACACGCCCGCTTTCAAAAGACGTAATTGTCAACGATGACAGTTTTACATCTGTCGTCATCGAGGAGCCCAGCTCCATCTCCCATTCCCAATCCCAATCCTATTCCCACTCCCCCTCGCTCCCCCATTCCGACTCAATGGACAGGTCGCGCGCCCACTCACCCACCAACGATGACAATGTGGACATCGATGCAGACAGCCCCTTCCTCAGACCCGACAATTTGGAGGTCCGTCGCGCCACAAGCGTGGATCTGGGGAGTCGGCATGTTCGGCATATCAGCGCGGGGAGTGCAAAGCTTTTGGATCTTTCGAGGGGAGTGTTGGAGGTTGTGGGGTCGAGCAAGAGGAGGAGTACGGGGTCGATTGGGGTGGAGGGGACGGGGTTGAGGGTGTTGAATGGTTGAAGAAAGGTGGGGGGTTATGAGAGTGGGAGAAGTGGGAGGGGATAAATGGTATGGTTTTAGGAAACACCCTCTTCAACCAGATTTATTTATCGGACCGCAAAGCCCGCCATACGCTCGTTTATATCTTGTTTCCCTTTGTTTCTTTTTTTCTCCTTTTTCCTTGGTTCGCTTCTCCGTTGTCTGGATTGATGAAAACAGAAAAAGAAAAAGAAAAGAAAGAAAAGAAAAGAAAAGAAAAAAAAGGAAAATAAAAAATAAAAAAATAAAAGAAAGAAGAAAAGAAAAGAAAAAGAAAAAAAAAATTGGGGGAATAAAAAGTCCTGGAACCTAGGCAATGTCCAAAATGCCATATGATGGCAGATCCACACTCATATACATTCTACTATCTCCCGCCCTCTGTTTTATTTTGTTGCATTTAGTTTCATGCCGGGCTTTGCGGTGGTAATTTTTCCGGATCAGGGTTGGTGTTGTATCATATCACATATATCCCATACTCCGCTTCATCGGTGGTCTGGAGAAGATGAGGGGGATCCCCTATCATCTTTGTCGCTGTCATCCTGCATCCTCTGTCAATACCTACTCCACTCTCTTGACAAGCTGCAAAATATTTACGTCCCTTTTTGTTGACGGCTGTCAAGCAAGTCCGGATCTGGCCATAGCACATGGATATCTTTTCTTGATTTTTCCTCCTTTTCATCTAAGGGATATCCTCCCCCCCTGACTAGACAACTCGGAAGGATCTTATATAAGGATTTAATCTTCTTTTTATATGAGGGAGGATTGCTTCTTATCAATACCCTTCTCTCCTCTCCCCTTCCCCTGCTTTTATCCATTTTAACTGGTTTACTTCCAACATGCACACGTCCTTTCAACTCTATTGTTTTTCGTTCTTCACGCTTTTGAATTCCTTTTTTCTATTTTCTTTTTGGTTTCTTCCTTCGTCTTCTCTTCCTTTTGAATGTTTTGTTACATCACTTCCCCACACTAAGCGGGTCTTCAGTGTTCTTCGCTTCCTTTTTCTTCCTCCCCAGTTCGTCTTTCCCTTACCTAACTTCACAATGTGAAATTAGTTTAGGGGAGAATAAAACCCATTATGTTTTCTTTCGGCAGGATTATGAAATAGGATGGAAAAACCAATCCAGAACGGCAACACGAGGGTGAATGGGACACGGTTATAATCGCAGAGCTTTCGTTGAAGAAATAGAACCTACTGCAAATTGAAACCCCATCACCAAAATGCTAGACCTGTCTAACTCAGATGCATCATTTTGCTTCCAGTTCCCCCAAATGAGTGTCCTGTACTATTTTAACAATGCCCGTGTACACTGACCAATACACATACCCTAGAAGCCTTCACCAAGAATATAGTTTATCAGGTATACCTAGATCTGTTTTGCCTTCTGGCAGGTAGGAAGCTGTCGTAATAGCCAACCGCTGCTTGGGGCCCCCTGTAAGACGATAATAGCAGACATATTGTTCCAGGCTTGGGGTTTCGCGTACAACGTCTCCACCAGTGTGTGACTAGAATGGCTCGTGGTTGGCCAGCCGCCCCCGCGCTGCCTCCTATGTCGTATTGCCACCTCATCTGCATCTTATTTATTTTATTTATTATCTTTGTCACAGAGATTGATAAGCAGGCACGCCAAGGACCTCTCATCATTCCTATCTGCAAGCTTTCCCCATTGGTGTGGGGGTTTGCCCCGGGGGGGGTGGGGGGGGTGGGGGGGTTAGAGCACACTCAACTGTAGAGTCTTTTTCTTTTAAGTTGAAGGCTAAGTCCGAATTGAGGTTTTGGGCTCACTCTAGAAAGGAGGTAAATAATTGACATTTGCCAAGTTCCTTCAGCCAAGGTTGAACAGGAGGTTTTTCACGACGAACCAACCATCCCGATGGAGTTCGTTCAACTGTGGCGTCCTTCCGCACGATCCATTTATGGATGAGTGGCCTGCAACGGAACGCCCTGTCAGAGTACTTGGTAGAAGGTCCCAGAATTTTATTTTCCCCCCAAGATCTTTGATCAAAAACTTGGTTTGTCCAGGTTTGTGGTTGCGCGTACTGCGGCGCGGGGAGGGTTACGTTGCCCACGGGGGTTGTTTGATGCGAGTTAGATAACTAACCGAGGGCCACGTGACGGGATGAGTTGGTCCTTGGCGCACGGATCTCTGTCCCTGTGCAGCTCGGATCGAGTTGTCGATATACCCGCAAATCCAGAGAGGTACCTAGCCTTTAACTTCCCAGCTTATTATCTCTGCAAAAATTAGATTGAATAAAAGCTTGTTTGTCAAAAGCATGTCTTCGGAGTAATAAAAATAACTTCGTTGGTTTAATAGAGAAAGATAGAGAGAGTGAGATCGACGACAGATATGTACCTTGAAATGAAAATAAAAACTGAAATAATAATGTCTTCTCAACCTAGCTATATAGACATCTACTTGAATGGTAAGAAATCAAGTTTATGAAGTAACTACACTCATGAAGTTGATTATACAGGGTGTTAAAAAACACGCCTAAAACCCACAGCAGAGTGACTAATTCTAATGATTTCCCGCCCAGACAAGGTGGCAATTTGTGTGAGGTAGGCCCAACAGCCAGTTTAACCGCTGGTACCAACGATACCAATCAAGCACCATCCGATGTGGGCCAGATGACGTACCTGTTTTTAAAAAGTTGTCTCATCGGATTCGAGGTTCTTCCTCTGGGATTTGAACCGAAGGGGCCTTGGTTTCCGAAGGGGAGTGAAATTCCTAAAGAAGCTAAGACAGAAGAAAACCAAAAAAATTAATACAATTAAAATAATTATCTAGGTTCGGGAAATAGCTTTCAATAAAAAGAATTTTATAAATTTATAAAGTATTAACATAAGAAGTAAGATTTTTTTTTAATACTGAGCTTTATGCTACTTTTAAAGTTTTCGAAATGATTTATAAAAAATTAGCTTTTACTTTAGAAAGAGATTTGAATTTTCTTAAATAGTTAAGCTGTATTAAGAACCTTTTAAAAATACAATCAGAATAATTAGATATAAATAGAATATATTTGCAATTTGATGAAAAATATTAAAATAAAAATACTAATTTTAAAAATTATATAAATCAGCTTATAACTTATAATAATTCCTAAGTTGAATAAGTAAAAATATATAAATGTCAAGGAAATAAATAATACATTCTTTATTTGAAAATAAAATTAAAATAAAAAGTCAGTTTAATCAAATATAATTTGGTCAAATCTGTTATAAAGATAATTAATTATCTAATAATTTTAATACTAGATATAGTTTAAATAACTATCATAAAGATTTATAAGATTAAGTAGAATTATATTTTTTCTTTTCTATTGCTCTTGAATAAGAATTACACAGGATATAGGATATAATCAACTCTTATGGAAACTTTCTTATATGTTTTAAAACTTCTGTAAATATTTAGTATGCGAAGAGATATGTCTGTATGAGAAAGGAATGAATCAATCAATCAATCTCTGGCGGATCGTGGGATTGTGGATGAATAATCCCGATGTATTTCCCATGTATATTCCGCGTATATCGTACCGCCAAAAGGGACCTAGGCGTAACTTTGCTCCTCATTGCTTTTTCTTTTATGTTGGGAGATTGCTTTGATTCCAAATCCAAGATTTTGTCTTCAATAAACACATACATCTCAACCACATCCTCACCTCCCCGGCCATGACTATTCACAACTAATCGTATCTGTATTCTATGAAATATCTCGGAATCGATTTAGCCGGTATACCGACCCAATTACCCCTCTCGCAATCGCCCGAGATATAACTCCTCCTCTAAACCGGTTTGGAATCATCCCTGCAGCTAAAACGACAGATCAAGATTGAAACTGTGTACACACACGCATAGTCAGATCTCTTTGCTTATGGAATCCTGAGTATCTTGTTGTATTGCGAAGAAAAATATATACCTCAAAGCAAGTCTCTGCCTACGTCATTGCGGGCGATCCCGCATAACATAATCCAAACCCACCGGCCATCCTTAACTATTTCCCAACCCACAACAACCTCTCATCCTCTGACAAACCCATCAACCCCCACCACCAAGTTGACAGATATATATTAACCATCGCGCTTCCACAGTGGCCTCCTCTCTTCGTCTTTCTGTCCGAACTGCAACAGCTTCCAATCTAGTATCAGCAACACCACGCCTGTTATCCTCATCAAGCAAGAGACTCGGGTCAAACACCAACAACAACCGCTCCTCACCAGCCCCACCGCCTTCACTCTCAGTCTTCAACAACAACATCAGAGTTTTCTCCGCTTCCGCCTGCAACAGCTTCAGACCTACACCAGGCACAATGGTTGTCCACAATCTGCAAAAGTAAGTCCAGATAATGACATAACTATTTTTTCTTTCTTTCTTGTTTTCTTGAATTTGTTTCGGCTGCCCATGGTCGACGGAAATTCCGCAGCAATTCCTTCACGACGCATCAGCGTCATCACCACTCAGGGAACCGTCCATACCATCCATTTCATCAAATCCTTCCCTCCATCCATTCCAATCCTTCCCCCCAACATCCCTCCACATCCACAAACCCCAAAGGAAAAGAAAAAAGAAATCTAACACCCCCCCCCCCCAGCCGCGCCTCCTTCGTCTCCGCCATCTCCACCACCTCCACCGCCGACACCTCCACCGACAAAAAGACATCCCTAGTCGTCATAGACTGCTATGCAACCTGGTGCGGCCCCTGCAAAGTGATCGCGCCCAAACTCGTCGAGTTTTCCGAAACCTACCCGAACGTCACTTTCTACAAGGTCGACGTCGACGAGTGCCCGGACATCGCGCAGGAGCTGGGCGTCAGGGCCATGCCGACTTTCATCTTCTTTAAGGATGGGCAGAAGGTTGATGAGGTGATGGGCGCGGTGCCGCAAGCGGTTGAGGCGGCGATTAAGAAGCATGCGTCGTAGATGAAAGTGGGGAAGGGGGGGGGGGGCTGAGTTTTGGTTAATTGAGAGGCGGGTTTGTATGGTATTCTCCTTTTGTGTACAGTCTTCTGTGGCCCGGGCAGCGAAAGGGATATCTGCCGTGGGATAAAATAGGGGAAGATATTGAAAAAAAAAAAAAAAAAAAAAAAAATTTTTAAAAAAAAGAGGATGGAAGGGTTGAGGGATACGCACTTGGCCAAGAATTAGTTAATCTCAACCCAATGAATAACTATTTTGAGAAAGAGGGAATAACACCCCCCATTTCTGCTGCGATCGTCTCTGCAATCCTATCTCTCGCGCTCTCTAACTGATGAGAACGTTGTGCTGTTGTATATTCATTTCTAGTCCGTTCCTTGAATTCTAGTGTTAATCCCACAACTAACTGTACGGATGCTGAAAAAAAAAAAAAAAAAAAAAAAGGGAGAAATAAGAGAGAGAGAGAGAGAGAAATTACAATCCACAAAGCCGGTCCAACGGATGGATAATTTATGAATACCCCTGATTAAACGAAAAAAAAAAGCAGACGACACTCAACATAGTTACAGATATCCATTCGACTGTTCCCACCCAGCCGCAAGCCTCCATCCCATAACATGAACGATAACCATAGGAGAGACAACCAGCCCCTTGCCCTCCCGCCCCACGTACCCATATGAAAGAATCCTGGAAAGCCGCGGGACGAACACGGCCAAACAACGCGGAGCCTCGTACATGTATACAATGAGCAAGCGATGGAAAAAGAAAAGAAAAGAAGCACCAGCCTGCATAGGTCGTACACTCAGTTTAAAGTATCTAAAGACTCTTTTGCTCGGTTCTGCAATGTCATATCAGCGGGTCTACCTGCTTTCTGTTTAGAGGCATAGTAACCAGCTATTCTACACTCTGAATGGATGCCACTGTTGGGCGAGTGGGAATAGACTTACGGAGAATAGTAAAGCTGCCATATTACTGCAGAAAAAGAACACTCGTGTAAGAAGTGAATTTGGATGAATATTTATATAGAGAGAGAATAGATGTGCCGGCACTTGGGTATTTGTACAAATATGCAGTCATGTATATGAATGGTTTATTCGAACAGCTGTATCAATTATCGGTCCCTGTGCTGACCTCTGTAAGAAAGATCAATAGAAACAGAGAATTAGGAGGGGAAACAGACGGAGAATAAGAAATCGCCCACCTTACTTTAAAAAAGAAAAAGAAATTATATGGAAAACGCCAAGGGAATCGAGGGCAAAGGGAAATGATATAAAATGCCGCTTTAAGATGAGACCTGTACATCTGGAAAGGAAAATGAGTGGAGAGACAAACACCGTCTTTCTTAATAACCAAGATGTGGAAAGTGGAAAAGTCAGATAATTATTTAAACGCCGTCTAAATAGAGATCTGGATTTGAGGATCGTGAGATATATCGATGCAGGCGGTGCAGGTGGTCCAGCCACCTGATAACGCCGAGAGAAAAGACGAGATGAGATGAGAGGGAAGGAGATAAAAAGACAGAAAAACAGGAGCCGTGACCCTAGACGCCGCCGCTATGATGAAAAGATGGAAAAGAAAATGGGAATTCATAGTCGTGACAAGAAGCCAGCAGAGGTAAGATGAAAATTAGGTCAAGAACGATATCTTTCTGGAAGAAGTTGTGACAAAGCCCCAGTCAACAGCAGATTGGACTTGGTGTAAAAGCGGCAGTTGTTGGTTGGTTGGATATATCGTATACTTAATCGTCATCGTCATCGTAATCTTCAGCGCTGAAGTCGCTGCTGCTGTCATTATCGGAATCTTCGTCATCTCCATCGCTTTCATCATCTTCATCGCCTTCATCATCTCCATCATCTTCATCATTTCCATCGTCGTTGTCTTTGTCAACAGCTTGCTCATCCTCCTCCCCATCACCGCTGTCTTCAACCTGTTTAAAGTTAGGATTCTCATACTGATGTCGCGCATCAGCCTGCATGGCCCCATTGAAATTACCACCGCCACTGCCATTAGCCGCCGCCATGTTGTCCAGAGCTTGTGCGCTAGAAGCCCTAGCCTTCAGTTTAAAACCAACAACATGACCACCCACATCACGTCTAACAGCGCCATTAGCACCGTTAGCAATCGCCAGCACCTCATCCCTGCTCCCCTGAATCTCAAAAGCGACACCCCCCAGCATTCGGCGCTTGCGCGACCCGCCACGGTAACGGCGGATCACGCTCGCGCTGGGGGCAGGATGCTCCTCTTCGTCCAGCTCGCTAGCGTCTGCGGATCGCTTGCTCGTCACGCTGTTGGCCGAAGAGGAGCAGGATGGTAAGGGGCTGTTGCTGTTGCTGTTGCTGGTGCTGGTGCTGGTGTTGCTTCTGATTTTGCTTCTGTTGGCAAGCAGTGTATTGAGGGCGCCTGTGATGTTGGGGCCGTACTTGCCGACCAGCGTGCGGATGGATTCATCTTTTGCGGCCATGGGGTGCCCGAAGATGGTTATCATCCAGTGCATATCTGCGTGGTCGGGTTTCGGGCTTTGGATGGGTTCCTGTTCAGAGATGCCGTTGGCGGCTGCTGCGGCTGCGTGGGCGGGGTTTCGTGCCTGGCTGCAGGTTTCATTGTTGGGCTCAACAGCTTTTTCCCTGGCAGATTCTTTGGATTTGGATTCGCAATAGATGCGATCGGCTCCCTTCAGTTGGTCTGGGAGGTTTGGGAGGCCCAGTGTGGGGGCCCTTTCAGACTCCCGCACGGAGAAAAAATGTTTAGAGTTCTGCATGGGGGCGAAGAGAAAATGGGGGGGGGGGGGGGGGGGGAAGGGAGCAATGTTAGCGTGTAGCTCATAGGTACAGAGTATGGATGATAGGTGCTATTGGTATGGGAATCACATACATGATAACCAAGATGTATCACCTCTCGATCTGGGTCGTCCGGGGAAAAGTAGTCCTTGAATCGTTGGACTCCGCCCACTGAGTAGACGAGCACATCCATGCCATAGGACTGGCAGAAGGCCTGGAGCTCCAAAGCTCCTCCCCAGTAAGAATTCCCAGCCATTCTCCGGAGCTCCGAGTGGAATGCAGCCTTTTGACCCCTTTTGGTAGCAGGTCTGCCTATGCCAGTAAACTTCTGGCGGGCTGCCTCAGAGGCGTCTCTTTTGGGAGCTCGACGCTCCCCCCCGGCGTCTGTAGAGAATTCTTCGAAATAAGCGGAGGACTTGCGCATCTGATCAACCAGGCGTTGTCGGATTTCAGCGTACTGCTCGAAATCGCCGTACAGTTGATCGGAGATGGAGTAGAAAAGGCAATTTCCTGGCCAATTAACATATGAATAGCTTGTTTTGATTTCCTCTTCTTTGGCTCTTCACAACGTATATATATATATATAATTCTGGCGAACAGGAAGGGGTCTTACCGTCACCGACGACAGGTTTAGCATACAACTGGAAGTAATCCAGGCATTCTAGCTCGAGTGAAGACATCCCTGGGTCTTGGGACAGTTTCGTGGTTTTTTCCGGGGTGCTCTCGTCCTGCAGGGTCGTCCTGGTACAAGCAGGACTCTGGGTAGTTTTGCCTCTGGAGAGGATTGGGACGACTCTAGGATTGAGAGGTGAGAGGGGTGGAGAGGGTAGAGGAGACAGGAGAGGTGAGAGGGGCGGAAGGTTAGCCATGGTTGCGGAGGATCTGCTTTTGAACACTTCATCTGGGACAGGGGGAGTTTTTTGTTTTGTATCTAGGGGGGGGGAGTGGGTAAGCAAGTATATTTGCTGTTTGGATCAAAAGCTGTGGTGACTTGAGTTAGGTGATGGCAAGAAGATGATAGATATAGATGAATTTTCTGTAAATATAGGAGGTTTTAGAAGTGAGGGAGTTGCTATGATATAAGTGGGCCAGCAAAGACATATGCAAGTGTGAGGTGACGAGATCTCCAACACTTTTTAACTTGAGAAAGCTACTTCAATGAATCCTTCTCTCAACATAAAACAGCAATAGGGAGACAGAGCATGAAGCAGAAGCCCTTTACCAGCTCAATGTTGTGGTGTTGCATGTTGAGGTGCTGAGATTGAGTGGAGAGGTTTCCAGGAAGTTGAAATGAAGTTGAAGCAGTTGAATAATGGCAAACAGTGCAAACCAGAGACGCCTGATTTCCCCGGAGAAGGAATAGACGAGGAGGGCTAGGCCTTATTGGGCTTAACCATCTCGGCTGCAAGTGAGTGCTTCGTCAAGCTGAGATAAGAAACTAAACAGAGTTGATTCATGGGAGAGAAGAGGAGAGTGAAAGGAAGAGAGAGAGGGAGAGAGAGGGAGAGGGGGGGGGGCCAAGGGGAATGGAATGAAAGATAATATCGCGGAGAGCTAGAGGCTGAGAG